AAAAAAAATATTAAAATTATATTACCTCTTTACTGTAGCACGATTACGATTGTCATTATTGTATTCACATATTTAAACTTGTATACCTTTAATATTGTATTGTAGTATATAAAAAAAATAAAAACGAAAAAAAAAATGTTAAAACATCACCAAAGCTGCTGCCAACTTGCGTGGCGACTACCGGCAAAATCCTTCAAGTTAAACCTATGTTTAACAGTGGACAGTTATCGGCTGGTATGATTACGATGATATTTTATAGTTTTGGTCGATTTTTAATTTTTACGTACGGTTAACGACTTTGATTTTACACTGCATGCAGCGATTTTTTAATGTATGATAATGGAATGGTAACCTCGCCTGCGCTAATAGTATATGCTGGTGGGCCACCAGTGAGGTATGATGATGAGAAATAAAAGGCAGGTTTTTTTTAAAGGTGACAATGGGATTGTATTCCCACCCGAGGTAACAGTATACACCGGCGAGGCTCCAGTGAAGGATGATAGGTGAGGATGAAGCAGGTCAGTTGGCAAAAAAAACATTTGGTAACATGTAAACAGCCAATTATTAAAATAAAGTAGATTGTAGGCGCTCAATGCGATTTATAACCCCGGTATCAAATTTGAAACTTCAGGTATTTAAGGGTTAATAACTTGGTTATCGGTTACCGTTCACAATTTACGACTTCTCGAATAGTAGAACAATCGAATGTGTTGTTTGAATGATTCTAACTAACTTTACACGATAATAAAAGGTGATAATATATGATTGAATCGTGTTATCGTTACTTGCGAGTCTGAGGTTGTCTTGTTTACTCGTTCCTGCATGATAATGTGATCAGATAGGCATGCCGCGTAATGGCTTAAGTGCATATATAGGTACCATTAAATGATATAGATGTAACATTATGTTAATTAACAAAACACATTCATTGAAACTAGTATTAATATTCATTAATAAGGTGTGGATGTCACGGTAGAAAAAATATTTCCACAATGCGGAAATTTTTTCAATAATTAATAAAATATATAATTTAAAAAAAAAAGAGTAATTGTTTCTGTATCAAATCTATATATATATATATATATATATATATATATATATATATATATATATATATATAATGTGATGTCGTAAATTAACGCATTTTTTGCGCTTAGCATTGCACCCGTGCGAAGCCGAAGCGGGTCGCTATAATCTACATTAACATTATAAAGAGGAAACATTTGTTTTTTTTTGTTTGTAACGATTAGGCTCCGAAACTATTGGACTGATTTAAATATATATATATATATATATATATATATATATATATATATATATTCCACACGACCTGATACGGTACATTGTTAGCAGCGGGGCCATTACACCCCATTAACAATTCCTTTATCCCCAGGTGAGCGTATTGGGAGATTGTAAAGTTCACCCGGCTGATTAAATAAATCAATGAATAATTCCATCCATTGTGTAAACTGGCAATTCTATTAGCCCATTGTAGTAGATACATTATTATTTATTTCTGTGTGGCATATCTCAATATAATTTTTATATATTTCTTTTTGAAAAACTCAGGAGGTTTGTGTTACTACAACCTCCACACTTTACCAAAGGGAAGCTTTGTACAAAAGTTGTTTGCTTGGGTTTCTCTGTCCCATTCGTGTTTTAAGCGTGAAGCAGTGTTTGCATGGCTGTGTTTCGGTTCGAAGGGTGGGATATGGCGTGAATTTACTGGGTACAGAGGAATAACACCTGAGTCCTCAGGAATTGCAAGACATGGAGGGTATCATGGGCGAAACAGTATACTCTGTTATGTCCATGGTACTGCTCATGTCTACAGACGACGGTTAGCACTTTCCATCAGGTGGGCCGTCAGCTTGTTTGCCATTCTAAGTTGTATAAAAAAACCCATGTCATATCCTAACTTAGTGCATTGGGTACTATATGTACTTACTGGTCACGCAAACGAAGCCGCGGAATACAGCTAGTACGATTTGTAACATAATAAAGATTGGGTTTTTTTTTGGGTGATAATGGAATGGTGACCCCGCTTGCGCTATCGATATACACTAGCAGGGTACCAGTGAAGGATGATAGGTAAAGATGAAGCAGGTCAGTTAGCCCACCTTGACGAATTTAACAATAAATCAATCACGATGGTTTCCAGGGGGAACCACGAGGAGGTTGACCTGACAGGTTATATTGCTAGTAATGGGGCTACTAATCCCCATTACTAACAATTCCTTCTTCCTAATAAAGATTGGGTATGGTTAGCTAGATTTAGAACCATATGAGTAACCGATGTCGTAACCCCGAAGTAAATTTACGTCTCTCTCAACGGTCCCAGCTTAAAAACACTTTAGGCTGGTTGAACTCTAAAAATTGTCTCACACATTATCCGTTGGCCACGATTGGACGCAAAATTAGTGGGCGCTCGAGCAAAAGCTTTCCTTGCGAAATTCTACGTCCCCCATTAGCAAATCTATGTTTACTTCCACACTCGTTTGTGGACGAATGAAATTGGCCTCTTTACATCTATGACATAAGAGTCACATCCGTTTGTAACGACGCTTGTTAAGTTTGCACAGTCGTAAAGCGAACACCGCTGGAATTTCAACAAGTTAGACCATGGTTGCTGCACTAGTAAGTAGCCGGTTTAACGATCTTAATACAGGGCCGTAAGGTTTATTATCGCACGTGTGGACAGTAAAGTTGGAGGCAGTAAAGCAGCACTTGCAGCGCAGACATTCTTGACGAATGTTGCCAAAAACTGGGCAGTTCTCACCTCGTTCCCTCTACATTTTATTGTTTTATTTACGATTCCGCCCTAAAACGTATTGTTGCCATGGAAGCCTTTAATCGAAAAATGTTAATATTTTATTTATTTATTTACTTTTTACTGCATCGCCTAAATTTACTTTAAATAATACATGTTCATCAGTGGACAGGTAATGGATGATATAATGACGGTAGAAAAAGCTGTCAAAATATACTGAAAAATATAAAAAAAAATTACTCTCTTGTATGTAACTATTGATTATTACTAGGGATGGATAATATCTGATATCTATGATTGCTCTTTTGGACATTTATGACCATATATTGCGATATTACTCATACCATACAATTATCTATATTCATTACGAGCGGGATCTTCTTTTCGATATTATATATAGGATAATTGATATCTAATAAATATGTTACTGAGCTAATATATGTATATATATTGTAACCACAATATATAGGTATTGTATATATACCAGTCGGTTAACTATATTCATTAGCAAGCGAGTTCTTTTCGATATTATATATAGGATAATTGATATCTAATAAATATGTTACTGAGCTAATATATGTATAGATATTGTAACCACAATATATAGGTATTGTTATATATATCAGTCGGTTAACTATATTCATTACGAGCGAGTTCTTTTCGATATTATATATAGGATAATTGATATTTAATAAATATGTTACTGAGCTAATATATGTATAGATATTGTAACCACAATATATAGGTATTGTTATATATATCAGTCGGTTAACTATATTCATTACGAGCGAGTTCTTTTCGATATTATATATAGGATAATTGATATCTAATAAATATGTTACTGAGCTAATATATGTATAGATATTGTAACCACAATATATAGGTATTGTTATATATATCAGTCGGTTAACTATATTCATTACGAGCGAGTTCTTTTCGATATTATATATAGGATAATTGATATTTAATAAATATGTTACTGAGCTAATATATGTATAGATATTGTAACCACAATATATAGGTATTGTTATATATATCAGTCGGTTAACTATATTCATTACGAGCGAGTTCTTTTCGATATTATATATAGGATAATTGATATCTAATAAATATGTTACTGAGCTAATATATGTATAGATATTGTAACCACAATATATAGGTATTGTTATATATATCAGTCGGTTAACTATATTCATTACGAGCGAGTTCTTTTCGATATTATATATAGGATAATTGATATTTAATAAATATGTTACTGAGCTAATATATGTATAGATATTGTAACCACAATATATAGGTATTGTTATATATATCAGTCGGTTAACTATATTCATTACGAGCGAGTTCTTTTCGATATTATATATAGAATAATTGATATCTAATATATTTGTTACTGAGCTTAATATATGTATAGATATTGTAACCACAATATATAGGTATTGCGATATATAACCCACCGTTAATTGTTAGACTAATAAACAGGAAATTACATATGTATGATGTATTAGATCAGATTAATATTATTTTAATTGATCATAAGCGTGTTTATATTCAAAGGAATAATAAATTTTAACTACTATAGTCACTCAGATGGTTCATATGCTAGAATTAAACGAGTATAGACTTCAAATTCATTTGCTGTCCGCGCTTTGAAATTTTACTTTATCTATGCAAGAAAATTATACGTCATTTTTGATAGCAATCAGAAGCCGGTGAAATAAGCCTCTCCTCGAAACACGTTTCTCCCTTTTTTTTTGCAACTTCAAATAGCAAACAAGCTGACTGCCCACCTGATGGAAAGTGGTAACTGTCGCCTATAGACATGAGCAGTACCATGGACATAACAGAGTACACTGTTTCACCCATCATACCCCCCATGTGTTGCTATTCCTGAGGATCCATGTGTTATTCTTCTGTGCCCTGTAAACTCACTGCCATATTCCACCTTTCAAACCGAAACACAACACAACTGCTTCATGATTGAAACAAGCATGGGACATAGGTACCCACCTAAGCAAACGACTTTTGTACAAAGACTCTCTCTGGTGAACATTTATAATATACAACCACATTTATAACATTAGTAACAATATCATCATATCATCATATCAACAGTTTATTGTCCACTGCTGGACATATACCTCTCCCACAGACCCGAGATAAGGAACGGTCCCGAGCCACCTGCATCCACTCAGTAACAATATAAAAGATGTATTTTTTTTTATTACAGATGGCGAACCTATTAAATTACCAGAAAACCTGGAGAGTCTACCGCGCGCAGAACACTTCGCGGCGCAGAGGCACCGGTGGAACACCAATGAGGTGAGTCCAATTCAATAGTAATATATCAGCAGTATATTGAACCGAAGTGCTTTTAGACTGGTCTCTACAATTTTAAAGATAGATACCAACAGGTAACCTAATTCTTATTACGAGTCCTACTGGACCCGCAAAAATAATTTTAAGATGCCCACTGACCCCTTACGTAGGGGTTTGATTTAAATTTTAACATTAGATACATGGTTAGGTTTGTTTTGTTTAATTCTAATTGACTATTCAATTATACAGACTTCCACAAAATAACAGTTAATTCGGTAAAAAAATTAATATTTTTATCTACCACATGTTTCGTTCCATTATTTATTTTTAATTACTAATGTTAGTATAGTCAACGTTAAAAAAAACTTAAAAACTGTAGTAATACATATAAAATAGTAAGGTATCCTAAAAGTGTCATAGTTTTTACATCTTATACCATAAATTGTATAACAATTTTTTTTTTATGTGGTTTTTATAAATGTATATTTCTTTTTACAATTAATAACTTTTATTTAAATAATGTGATATCAATACGTGATACCACATTATTTTTTTGATGGAAAAAGTGTTTTTATTTTTTTATTTTTATTGATTAATCTCGTAATTTGAATTAATTTTAGTAAGGGGTCCAGTGGGTCTGTCAACTGATTCGAGGGGTGAGTTGGTCAATTAGGGGGTAATATTTTGAGAGATCGGTCGATCCGAGATCGATATCTAAATACACACGTTTTAATGTTATGAAAATGATAATTACCTCATTAAAATTACAAACTAAATGTATAATATAATTTCGCCTACTTAATTAAAACGTAACGTGTACGTCATACGCAACGATTCATTTCCATGAATTATGCAAACTGCTGTCCCGTATCTGTGCTCGCCGTTTCTGCCTACTTACCTGCCGTCGTACGTTATATCGTATCTAAATAATATAAATGTACTTTATAATATTACTAATATAATAAAATTGTAACTAGACGATGTCTGTACATGGGACATATTTAATGAAAATTGTTATGAGGGGTAATGAGACTAATAGATCAATAATTTTTAAGACCAAAATCATTTTTAGAAATTTTATCTTTTTATATAATTTATTCTGGCATCATGCAGAAATTACTGCATGAAATTGAATACGATTTTCACAGTTGTATTTCTGATGGTGTAACTTCAAATTTGATGTGTGTATTATCTTGATACGAGTACATTATCTGGAAGAGAAATATTTGATTGGTTTTCCAATTTCTGAATTCTAAGCTTACGATATAACGAGCAGAATACTAGTATGGCAAAACGGTATTCCACTATAAAGATAGTACTAAATATTTATATATTTAAGACTATCCGTAAAGAATTTTTTTTTTTTTTTTTATAGAACTTAGAATGGCAAACAAACTGACGGCCCACCTGATGGAAAGTGGTAACCGTCGCCTATAGACATGAGCAGTACCATGCACATAACAGAGTATACTGTTTCGCCCATGATACCCCCCATGCGTTGCCATTCCTGAGGACTCAGGTGTTATTCCTCTGTACCCAGTAAATTCACGCCATATCCCACCCTTCAAACCGAAACACAGCCATGCAAACACAACTGCTTCACGGTTGAAACACGAATGGGGCAGAGGTACCCAAGCAATCGACTTTTGTACAAAGTCTCCCTCTGGTAACTTGAACAAAGGGTGTTCCCTTTAATAGTAAATGATAAACGTAATACTTTTTTATATTAATATTTGAGTTAGGTTGAAAAGGTTTAAATGTAAAGAGTATCATCAAAATCCCCCACGGTCGTATATTCCATATCAAGGATTGATATGGTAATGGAATGGAGCGGAACCCGGTGTTTACTTTACCTATGGGAATTTTTAAAAACTCATAGTGTATGCGTACATTGCATCATATATGAGGGGAAGTTATTAAGCCTACTGTATTTTTGTGTGCATCTACATATATATGTAATGAAAGTGAAAATATTATTTTAAGGAAATAGCTATATTAACGTTAGGCTTGATTCTAACGCGTCATTTCCCTAAACCTATATTACCTAACCTAACCTAATATTTTATTTTGATGGTTTCGAGAAATTTTTGTTTTAATGACTATCATAAATTAAATTAATAATATCATATCAGCCGTTAATTATTCACTGCTATGGGAAGTCTATGTCCCTTATGAGGTTTTGTCAGTACTTGCCATGCTTGGCGTTTTATATTAATAACACTTATAGCGCCAAACAACTACGTCTTTTTATTTTCTTCTCTACCCAAAAGTTGTTTGGTAGAGATTGTTTTAGCGATAAGATCGCCTCTTGTACTTTATAAAAGCAATGTATGTATATATTTTTGTATTATAATTTAAGTGGTGTAGTAAAAAATAAATAAAAATATATTTAAAGTTGTACGAAGCCGAAGCGGGTCGCTAGTAAGCAATAAAGACACTATTATAGTAGGAACTAGAAATTGTATAAATCCATTTGACGACCTAAGCGCTATATCTCAGCGTACAGGCCGAGCGAGCTATGTTTAGTTCGAGCCCTGCTAATGAAATGCGTAGTGTAAATTACATAGCAGACTGTGTCGCTAACTGTTATGATAATAGGCTCCACAGGAACCATAGGACGGCTCTAGCAAATGCTATTTTCGTACGGAACGTTGTGTGCGAAGCTAGGATTGTATATGTTTTAATTAAGGATAGAGAAAATGAAAACTGTAATAAGTAATATTACTGGTTATTTGATTAGAATTATTTTGTTTAATTCCGCTACCATTAGTATGTGTGTGACTGCCAACACTTGAAGATTGACCACCGCTAATTACTACTAGAAGTTCCACAACCTTCCATAGTAGCCATCAATCTCCGACTGCCATTTTGTTTATGCAGCTTTTGCGGCACGTGTTTCACCTCTAAAGGCGAAAAACTGAAAAAACTTCGCACTTTGAGTGCCGAACGATTAAAACTAGGTTCCGAGCAGATTCTAATTCGCCTGAAGATGCCTCGTTTAGAGGTCAACACGTGTTGTAAAAAGTGAGTGAACAAAATGGCAGTCGAAGATTGATAGCTAATATGAAAGGTTGTGGAACTTCTGGTAGTATTAGTGGTGATCGATCTTCGAGCACATAATATATATATATACACATATTTATACTTAAGTATTTTTAATGCAATAACCTTTACTCAAGTAAAGAGAAATATTACTCATTCATTAGGTATTCATTTCACGTTGTACTAAACATTTACTGTGTACTCGTATACCTAAGCTGTACCGATAAAAAAAACCAATCGCCATTCTCTCTAGCACAGTAATCGAAGACCGAAGTGTATCTATACAAGACGGTAATTTCCCTATAGTGCGATCTTACACTTTAATTTTACTTCTTTGCCCAGATAAATTTCGTTGTCCTTGCTCTCCCGGTTTATTGTTAGTAAATTGTGAAAGTAACTAAATTTCAGTGAATATTGCGTTTTTTTTTTTTTGATGGGTGAAAATGGTATGGTAACCCCGCCTGCGTGAACGGGATACGCTGGCGAAGCACCAGTGAAGGGTGATGATGAGAATAAAAACAGGTCAGTTAGCCCATCATGGTGAATTCATCAGGAATTAACCATGATAGTTTCCAGCGAGTACTGCGAGGAGGTCGACCTGGTTGGGTATATTGCTAGCAATAGGATTCTCAGTCTCCTTTACTAACAATCCCTTTCATATGTGAATATTGCGTGAGACAGCTGATTTTGTTTTATGGATTTAAAATGGAATGTTAACCTTGTTTACGCTATCGGTATACTGGCGGGACACCGAGAAGTATAAGGATTGTTAGTAATGGGAATTAGCAATCCTATTATTAGCAATATACCCTATCAGGTCGATCTCCTCACGGTTCTCCCTGGAAACCATCATGGTTAATTTTTAGCAATGGAGCCATTATATCCCATCAAACCTTTTCCCACCCGCAGGTGGGGTTACCATTTTCATCAGTAAGGAGAGTATGAAAATGGAATAAATACATATATAAAAAATATATTCTTAGTTTATGTTGTGTACGGGACAGACAAGCAAACAAGAAACCGATCGGTTACGCACTGTTTTAATTATTTACTAGGCGGTGGATGCAGCCACCGCTGCAATTATTTATAGATATCTACCTAGATATTACATACAAAACAGTTTAGTAATAATGTAATTTGTTCCAATTAATGCTCCTTTCTACTCAGGGTTTGCTGGAAGAGAACTCTTACAGAGTTAAGCTCGCCTGTTGTACATTTTTGTTTAATATAAATTATATGATTGTAATTTTTTGTGTACAATAAAATATAAATAAATATGAAATTTTTTAGTTGTAAATTTAGGACTAAAAAGAGGATTGTCGTGTTCACTTAAATTGTTTCAAATCCTATTTCAATACAGTTGTGTACAGTTATAAAAAAAAAAAACAAGTGCTTCGTTTCAGCGAAAGTTGTTCAAAACAATTTTTCAGCGATGGCTGGAAAATTCCATCAGTTTCGCTTTGTAAAGTCCATACGGCGATGCAAATTGAAATTAGAAAGCACAATTTTATATACTCGTAGCTATTTCCTTTATGTTTCCCGTGTACTCGTATAAAGAAATTTGTGCACAGTTCCCGCAAACTAAACTACCTAATTAGGATGCAAGATTAACTCTTTCATTATCCAACTTACTAACAGGTAAGTAACTTAACTATAACTGTTAAGTAGCTGTTTAATTTGTTAGTTAAATAAGTGTTAGTGCAGGAACTTAACGGAGATAGGATGAAGCACGTTCTTTGGAAATTAATTGGAGTGGTCTTAGCTGCTATCGAAGCTAAATTAGTACTGAAGACGGATTTATCTTTATTTTTTAAATTAAGTATTGGTCATTGTCCTACTACGGTTGCCAATCCGTCTGCCACTGATGGCAAAACCTTCTTTATGGGGGACGCCTATGTACAGCAGGAGACAGTAAACGGTTGATATGATAATGTTGATGATTTATCAGTCAAAGATGTTAG